TTTTTTTTTGCAAGGGAGAACCTCTGTAGTGTAGAGCTAGCAAATGTGAGAATGTTCCCCACAATGACATTAAATAATATAAAAATATGAATTAAATTCCATATATATAAAATGCATTTTATACATTTACATTCTCATGATATGATATCAATTGTATTGCTCAATATTGTGAGTTGTGGTAGTAACAGGACAACACCATGCCTCAGTACAGTATGCACACAGAATGCTTAGCGCTGGAAAGCACCAATAGGTTCCTAAACATGTAATATTGTAAGGACTTTAATACTGCAGTACTTTAAGGATTCACTGGATGGCATATTGCAATATTACCATAAGTGTACTAATTTATCTGATAACCACATGCATCTGTAGTACTTTAAGATTCAATGCAACACCTGGCAAATTTTACAGAGTAGTGCAGTCCTACATTGGCCATGACACAGTACTGCCCAGGATACCAATGGGCCCTTTGTGCATTTCAGATTGTATTGTATGTATTGTATTATTAATAATAGTATTGTATCATTCGTTACACTGTGGCTGTGTTGTCTATGTTAAGTTGCTGTTGCACTGCTATTTCCCTCACGAAGTATCTATCTAGATGGCAGTGTCTAAGGGCTAAGGAACTGAATCTGCTGCTGTATTACTTTAGTAAAACTCTTTAAAAAGAACAAGATCACAAAAGGACAGAGCATGGGGAAAATTATGACTGCTGCTACCATGTGCAAATGTCTCACCTTCATTAAGTGTTAGAAAAAGGATGTTGAGTGTGATGCAGCATAGCAGGGAGCAAATGGGCATCTTCCACCTAGAGACACAGAGCAAGACGACTGTCAAGTCTAAATCCAAAATGTGGTGAAACAAAACATTTTAAATAAAAAACAAAACAAACTCAGCAAAGGAACGCTGAGGAAATTTCAGCAAAGGGGGACTTTTTTAGTAACCCTGCACTGTAATGAACAGTGCAGCAGTGCTGTCAGTGCCCACAGACACGGCACTCACCTCAAAATGTACTTGAGAACATCCCAGGCATCACTTAGGGGCTCCAAATAAATTCCCATCCTCTTGAATGAAATGACCATGTTGAAGAGATCAAAAGTTTGCGCTTTGGGGCTGCTGAAATCACACAATTCAGATGTCCCTGCTTCCTTCAGAGGCGGCTCTGGCGGGTCTCCTCGATCTCCGGCCACAGCGGCCCCTTGTGGCAGCTCCAGAGAAGCCACCACTCCAGGCTGCATCCTGCCTGCACATGCACAGCACGGTGGCATCAGTTAATCCTGTCACTGCATCAGTGTTAGTTCTCGTACTTATTTTAAAAAAAAAAGTATCTTTTTCACAGGAATTTCACCAATAGTCTGCTGTGTCCTGAGGTAGCTGGAGACACACAAGCTTCAATCAAAGCTAATTACATGAGTACAATACTGACATAATTGTAAAATAACTCACGTCTTTACCAACCACAAGTCAGTAAATCAGGTACTACATTGTTTCTATTGTGGATATTGCACTCTGTATATAACAGTCTATATAACAGTTTATACATAGAGACAGACTTAACAAGACATTGTTAATGTGGAAGCAGAAGTTACTTCCACATTAACAATGAGAAAGAGCAGAAAAAGTCATCTTAATCATTGCATTTGTCCAGCCATATACATCAGGGAAACAGGAATAAGAATGGTTGACTGTTTCGGGAACTTGTCAAAGATGAAAAAATTAAAGGTCTGTCCAAACCAAGAGCCCACCATTTTAGTGATCCCCAAAACACTGACCTCTTTGCCTGTGTCCTCCAATAGGAGGGATTCAAGACAGCTGTGCTAGAAAAAAACGTCAGAATTAGATTCAACAATTGACTAATCATCTTTCAGTCTTATCACACAGTACATTTACAGGTTGCTGCCTATCATGCCTCCTCTTTGTCCGTCATATTTCTACCTAATTATTCCCACTCTCTTCCTATTCCCACCTCCAGTCTCTTTCACTTGCGCCATCCCACCTTTTTCCCTCTCATCTCTGGTTTCCTTCTGAAGTGGGAGTTACTGTACATGAAGAGGCTCTATAGCTGAAATACTTCTCAGGATTAAATAAATCTCCTAACTTGTCCCTTCGCGAATGGCATACCGACTGAGCTCCCCGCTCTAATTTAGATGTTAATAAACCAGGACTGGATTCAGGTACCGTTTTCAACATTGATGCTAAACCTGCACGAATAGATGCCTTGACATTTGCAGAGCTAATCAGTTCTATATTCCACCGCCTTGTCAATAATTTAGGGAACAATACATTATATAAGAAAAAATAAAAGTGCTGAATGAATTACCTAGTTGAACAACTTAACTGCAATTTTGTAAATATTCTGTTTACCGTACCGTGATGCCGTATAACCCGTATATCCTTGTAAAACGCACTTATTATAAGAGTGAAATTTAAAACCCTTAACTAACTGGAACAAACAGTTTTCTTTAAACGCCTGATAACAAAACATACAAAACAACTCCAGTACTTCAAGCTTCCGCAATAAGTTCGTATAGACGATCACAGAAACCATCGATGTACAACACCAGGAATTACACATGATTCCAGAATGTATCGATTTAGAGACACTAGAGAAGATTTCACACATGGAAGTAGTACATACTGTACTGTACTGTACCTGTAGCTTAGACTTTATTGATCTTAGAATCACATTACTAAATGCTAAATAGAAATTGAAAAAGATATAGAAATAGAAAAGATAAAAACGTCATAAATAGAGCATCTTTTGAATGTCAAATGAATATTAAGTGATATTAGACAATTTAACAAACAACTGAGATCCTTTCTAAATCTATGAAACATTTTGGCTAAATGTACTCAAAAACCATTCCAGTTTAAGGTGGTGGAACCTGCCCTGCAGCTTTGTGAGACTTATTTAACAGCTTTCAGGTTCAAGATCTTTTCAATAATTTCCTGAATGACTTTAGATCCTCTGCAAGCCTGCTGTAGGTCTATCTGAGCACAAATAAATGGATAAAATTGTACAAAACAGAGCAAAAGCCTAAGATTAAAATTATTAATATAAAATCTAAATATCGTTGTTAGATTAATCATTAAGTTCATAATCAATAAGTTCAGAAATCCAAGATGGAAACCCACTGATCATATCCAGAGCGGATGTGTGTAAAGTTTTAAAAAGACCAATCCACGCAAGGCTCCTGGCCCTGATGCCATCCCTGGCCGTGTTCTGAAAGCATGTGCAGACCAGCTGGCAGATGTCTTCTCGGACATATTCAATCTCTCCCTAGCTCAGTCTATAGTTCCTTCCTGCTTTAAGAAGACCACCATTGTTCCTGTTCCTAAAAAATCCAGAGTCAGCTGCCTAAATGACTACCGCCCTGTTGCACTCACATCAGTTATCATGAAGTGCTTTTGGTCAAAGCATACACCACCTCCTCACTGCCTGACACCCTAGACCCACTGCAATTTGCATACCGCCAGAACAGGTCAACAGAAGATGCTATTGCCACTGCCCTCCATACTGCCCTCTCACACCTGGATAAGAAAGGAACATATGTGAGAAAGCTGTTTGTTGATTACAGCTCAGCATTCAATACCATAGTGCCTTCAAAGCTTGTCATCAAGCTCCAGGACCTGGGACTGAACACTTCCCTCTGTAATTGGATCCTGGACTTCTTGACGGAACGTCCGCAGGTGGTGAAGGTGGGCACCAACATGTCCTCTACCCTGACTCTAAACACTGGAGCCCCCCAAGGCTGTGTGCTTAGCCCTGTTCTCTACTCCTTATTCACCCATGATTGTGTCGCCAGGCATAACTCAAACTCCATCATTAAGTTTGCGGACGATACAACAGTCATCGGCCTGATCACAGATGGTGAAGAGTCTGCATACAGGGAGGAGGTTGAAACCCTGGCAGCATGGTGCCAGGAGAACAACCTCTCTCTGAACATCAGTAAGTCTAAGGAGATGATTGTGGACTATAGGAAACACCAGGGAGGAGATCACACACCTATTTACATCAATGGGACTGCAGTGGAGAGGGTCAGCAGTTTCAAGTTCCTGGGAGTTAACATCATGGAGGACTTACTGTAAGCTGGACCCACCACACCAACATCGTGGTCAAAACAGCACGGCAGCGCCTATTCTTTCTCCGCAGGCTAAAGACGTTTGGCATGCCATCACATATCCAGGCCAACTTCTACAGGTGCACTACTGAGAGCATCCTGACTGGTTGCATCACTGCCTGGTATGGGAACTGCTCTGCCCAGGATCGCAAAGTACTGCAGAGGGTGATGAAGTCAGCGCAGCTCATTACCAGCTGTGAGCTACCAAACATCCAGGATATCTACTCAGCTACAGTAGATGTCTTAAGAAAGCCAGGTCCATTCTCAAGGACCCCAGTCATCCCAGTCACAAACTGTTTTCCCTCCTACCGTCCGGTAAACGGTACCAAACCATTCGGTCCAAGTCCAACAGACTACGGAACAGCTTCTACCTCCAGGCAATAAGACTGCTAACTAGCCAACTTGCAGCACCTTTAGCAAATCACCTGTAATGGCTACATGGACACACAGTTTTCACTGTATTCAGCATAACTGCACTACTTGTATATATTAAATACACCATGGACACAGAGCATCTCTATTCATATTGAGTTTTATTCAATTTCTATTACATCTATTATTATGTAACTTTATTTTTTGTAACCTTAATTTTGTGATTTTTGTGATTTTTTTGATTCTTGTGATTTTTGTGAGCTCGCAGAAAAGACATTTCATTGCCAGCAGCTACTGCTGCATGCTGTATTATTGTGCATTTGATAAATACACTTTGATTTGATTTGATCTGAGAATTTTAGAATTAAATTAATTCACAATCTGGGAATTTCAGAATTAAATAGCTCTCTTTTCATTTACAAAATATAATTTCACAAACTATGAAGATTGTGTCAAATATGTCTGTTTTTGAGCGGGTTAAGATACAAGTTAAGATATTACCAAAGGATATTTAAGTACAGTCTGGAGTCACAAAAAACATTGGCTCCCATTTTTATTTAAAAATAGTATTTATTAAAATTATTTTATTAGTGATATCTTCACAAGTTTCACAAGTGAACACAGAATCACCCATGCAGGAAGCAGTAAGGATGACGGGTGGACTAAATTACTTCAGTTCAGTGTTCAGTAAATGTCATACAATATTATTCATGAATTCATATAATCCAGTACAAAATATTTCTTAAAATGAATTGGTTTAAAAGATTGTATAAAATAAAGCACAGCAAAACATAAAATAAAAAGTTTAGACAAATAGTCTCTCTTACATAGAGAACACACCCTTGGTCCATCTGACTCTGGTCTTCTCTTTGTTCCCCAAGCTTGTCTTCATACTCTGGTTGAGATGTTCTTCTCTTTTTATGCCCCAGAGTTTGGGAACTCTATCCCCAAGGATATCAGGGAGTCATCTTCCCTGAGCATCATCAGATCTAGACTGTCAACCTTCTTTTATATAATTAGAAACTCTTGTATTTAATTGTACTAATTCTATTATCTCCTCTCCTTGTAGTTTTTCCCATACAGTAAAAAGCTTTGAGAAGCTACTTTTAAAGGTGTAATATAAAAATAAAATGTATTATTATTAGTATTAATATCACATAAGACAGTACATGTTAATTTGTCTGATATAAATTGAAAAAACAAAATGTTCCACCAGATGGCAGTGCCCACCATTATGTCTGAAAATGCTACTCTTAACTTTAGTTCAGGAATTTACAGAGGAGGTTTGAAGTTTCCAGATTGAGCATTCTTTAACAGAATGTATTGAGAATGTATAACATAGGGCTAACAAAGTTCCCAAAGTAGGAAATAGATACACCCCAGACATCTCCTTCTTCACATCTCCTTCCTTTTCATGTCATTTCTAGTGTCTAGTGATGGAAAGTACTGCTATGTGCTCTGAGATCACAATCATGATAGAGCTTTATTGGGGTATTTTAGTTTCAACCAATCTCTCTCTAGGCAGGAATTTCCTTGAAAATAAATTAGGTTTAGAAAATATGTTTGACCTTCAGCAGTCCCTGTTAAATCCTTTTAAGGTGGATCAGCTAAATCATTATGAAGTTCATATCTTATTAACAGAATACATATATTGTGTAACAGACACTTACAATACAAACATTTTCTCTTTATAAATATCGACAACATAATAATATGGCAATTAAGAGTCTCCATACTTTCGGTGCCCATGAGTATAATAGGTAAAGACTGGGTTCAGTACTGAACCTCCCTTAACCATTACAATGTGTTGGGAAGGCAGGTATGTTTTGTGGAACAATATGGAAAGTCAGCATCATGAGCTGAAGAGACTGTCCATCATCCGGGTAGCTTCAGTCCAACTGCTCTATGTAGGCTTAGATTTTGACAGCTCTGGGATTTTAAATGACCATTCCCATCAGTCTATGCATACCTATTGACAAGAGGTCTAATACAAATATACAGTTGTAGCCTAATAAAAGATTTCTTAGGGTAAATTGTATCCTTTCAAAGAGAAAACACTGGACGTAGAGTGACATTAAAAGAAGAGGAGTTACTTCTTTATGCAAAGGGATGTGGGAGTATGGAACAAGCCACTTCTACTGTCAAAGCTGATGTCCTGGCATATTTCAAGCAATGGTTGGATGAGATCCTTTCTCAATTAATGATGAAATACCAAATGGGCTAGATGAGCCAAATGGCCTCCTCTCATTTGTACAGTCTGTATATTTTGAGTATAGTGTAAACTGAGATAGCCAATGAGCTTTCTCATATCTTCCACAGTTCGAAATTTAGATGAGTTAAAACAAAATCACAGAACAGAGAGAAACCCTGCCTGTTCACAAAGAACACTTAGTATTCCTCACATAATGCTATAACACACAGTGGAAATCAGGGTCACATCCGTGTCCTTCAAGAATGAAAACATTGGACAGAGAGTTCATTGTGTGTGCACTATATTGTGAGAGACAATCCATTCAAGTTCCACATCAATTTCCATAGTTATGATTTTGTTTGATTTAATACAAAATCCATGGAAACAGTGTACCCCCACAGGTAAGCATACATGCTATTCTTTCCATAATAGTGGAATTCAGGGTCACATTGATCTTCCTCTTAGACAGCATTTTAACACATTCTACGAGAAATCAATGGGGTTGAGATCAGGGCCTTGAGCTCATCTACTGTAGAAAGATCAGGCAGGCCGTTTTCATGAGACCAGTGATTTTGTTTTTCTTTCGTACTGTGCTCATGAGCCTTGGATATTACCTTTTGTGACAGTGAAATCGTGTGATTGAATGCGCTTCAGCTCTCTGAGTCCTACATCAATCAAGTTGAATATTAAGGGATAAATTTAGGTTCTGTTTTCTTTGTTGTACTTTGTTGTTTCCAACTTTATATGTTAATGTATAAATTAAACGCTTCATCTTGAATTCCCCTTCGCTGAGGCAGAACTGAATCAGGAAAATCTTTTTAAATAAATAGAAGTCAGGGAAAA